ACACCCCCGGGTGTTCTGCTGAATCCGCCTGTGTCGGTGACACAGCCCGGGGACACTGCTCGCCAAGGCGAAGGGCGAGCTGACGACTGCCAGCGCCCCTCCCTCTCCTTCCTCACCGCAGACGTCCTCAGCTGGTACGCGAGGGCCACCGCGGGGCACCCTCCGGCTCGGCTAGCAGCACCGCGCTCGCTACCAAGCGCTTCCGGCGTGGCTGTGCGCACCAGGGCGAGCGCGAAGGCGCCCTGCCCGAGGGGCTGCGGCCGGGCGCTGACAGAGGCGGCTACGCGCGCCCTCAGTCACCGCGTAAACCGCAGCGGTGTAACACGAGCAACAGCCCCTGCGGGGGCCCCGCTGCTGGCAGCAAGCCCGGTGCCCGTGCCCTTCTCACCTGAGCGCCACGTCCATCTCCTCGGCCTGCAGCACGGGGCCCAGGAGAGGCTGCACCTGGATGGCATCGCCAACCCTCACGCCCACATTCCTCTGGGCGACTTCACTCAGGCCGACCTTGCCTCCGGGGAAGCCGGCCACAGGCCAGGCCGTGTAGACCTGCGCAGACACGGGGGGAGCGGACATGAGGACGCGGCATCGAAGGGCAGCGGCACCTGAAAACGCAGAAGGCGGGCGCGGCCAAGGGCGAGACCTGCCAGCAGGCCTCTCTCCCCCCGAAGGGGCTGAACCTGACAGGTCAAAACGTTCACGAACATCCACGTTTCGTGAAGGTTGATAACGACCCCGAGACAAAACTGGCGAAAGCCCCGCGGGAGATTGAGACCTCGGGGGAAGGCTCGCCCAGGGCTCAGACCCAAGCGCAGAGCGGGCTGCCGGCTGCAGGAGGGAGCGCGCACGTGAGCTGCTGTCCCCGGCTCCAGGGAGCACAACGCCCAGCGCCTCGGAGGCCGGCCCAGCGGCCCAGGCCCACGGGCGGGCGGCACCGAGGGTCAGCGAAAGCAACAGCTGGCTGCAGGGGACGCGGGGGCCACAGACCACGGCAAGTGGCCCTCGAAGCCCAACCCGCCGTGAGAGAACTCTAAGGAACAGGCGGGGCGGCTGGGCGAGGGGTGGCCCGTCTGGGGGGCGGCTCGCTCCAAGTCCAGGGCCCGCGCCACAGCGCCCGCCGGGGAAGCCAGAGGCCGCGCGCCTACCTCCTGCTTCCCGTGCGCGCTGGTGAGCAGCACCGGGCGGCCTATGCACAGGTCTGCGGACTTCATGGTGCTGAGGCCCAGCTGGACCAGGGAATTCTGGAACGTCTTGGGGACCTTGTCATCTACCAGGAGGGAGGAGAGAGCCCTTCGCGCCAGCCGGCCGCCCGCTCGCCACACCGCGACGGCAGGGAGCCCGCAGCGCGGGCCACGCGGCCAAGCGTTTCCCACTTGACTTTCCACAGCCTGCGGGCGCCCCACCTGCTGGCTGATGCGGCCCGGGGCGACCTGCCCTTTCTCCAGCAGCGGAGCTGGGAGTGGGGGGCGGCGAGGCGTTCGCTCAGCCTGGCGCAGCGGCTTCCCACCGGCCCGGCCC